TGTTCATTAAACTTGAAAGAATGAACAACTGATGACAAAAATCGAGTAATTTATTATAACATAATTATTAAAACAAAAATGAATAATCCCAATCAACAAGTTATATAGGTTCTGCTTTTATAATAATTTTGAAATAACACCATTTTTATTTAAGCTTCCTTATTGTAAACATGATTAAATTGCACCTTACAATTATTAAGAGGATGATGAAAGGCCTGGATATCCTACTAAAGCAATTAAAAAATGTCCTTACTGTCAAAAATTAAAAAAATCTGATTAGAATGAAAATTTATTGAAGATGAGGACACCAAGGATTCATCACATTCCACATAACAGGTTAAAAGTTATAAAGTTTTGCACCCTCTGAATACCAAATTTCATGGCAGATGCTTTCAAGAAACATGAGGCAAAAGGATGTAAATAAATATTTCAAGAATTAGAATATGATCATTCTAATATCGACAATTTAATCACCACAAGTGACAAAACCTGCCTATATTATTATAGTATTCTAACTAAATCCCAAATCAAAATGTGGGTGTTTGAAGATAAGCAACTTTCAAATTTAGTAAAACAGGTTCGATCTGTTACAAAAGGAATTATCTCAGCAAGAGAGCAATTTTAGCCATTATTACATCATCCTGGTACATAAATAAATCTCTTCCAAAAGTTTTTGATCCATGAAAAAGTGAATAGTCATAGTCAAGACTCGATAGTTGGTACTTACGTGCTTATGTGATAAAGTTCCAGCACATCGAGGGCAACCTCTAATTATCACGTTTCTCATGAAATCTAAAATAGACAAGAACAGGAAGAAGTTTCTGGTAGCAACGTTTATGTGCGGAAGAAAGACAAAGAAAGTGTTCGGAAGAAGAAGGATGACAGAATAAGGAAGATTTTTCGCACATCTTCTCTAAATATGGAGAAGGGACCCACATGAACTGCTAACCAAATTGACGACTGCTTTGAAATAATTGAGTACAAATAAAAAAATAATTGCAGCTCATAATGAAACAAAAGAAAAACACATGTGGATTCAAGCAAGAAAATTGTTATAACAATAATAACAATAGTAAAACCAAGAACAATAGCAAAAACGATAAAAGCACACAAATAATAAAAACCAACAGGAGTAATCGTGGGCGCCTGAATGTTATCTCGTCAAACGGTCGAACAGAAGTGGCTTTCCTTGCTTCCACATGCATTCAGTTTACCGCGCATCCATAGGCGGAAACAATTCAGATTTCTTCCTATTTGTGTCGACCTGTGTCTACTGGATAATCCTGCCTAATGCAGACTGTACTTAGCGCCATGAAAAAGCAGTCAAATGGATGAAGTTTTATAGTGATATAGGGTGTCCATGGAAAATTGTACTAATTTTCCTTAGTCCTTTTGGGAAAAGATATTCGTCACTTTAATTCAAAAGCATAAATGATCATAGTGACTATTTCAAAAAATTAAATCGTACGAGAGATTGATAAAGCTTATCTGGCAGCCACCGTATCTAATATGTTCCCAGAAGCGTTTTTAAGAAAACCGCGTGTTTTCGGAGAAAGCGCAACTATTAGGTGATCGATTTATACCGGATTTTGGACATCGTCCCACTATTTGATTTATTTCATGTGGATACCATTTATTTCCGTTCACCAGACTTTTCTAAAGAAACTAACCTAATCAGTATAGTAATAATTGCTTGGAGTGATTTTTGCTTGAAACTACAGTCGTTACTCATTCCCTTTTGACTTCTAGTGGCAAAAACGAAAAATATTACAAATCTAAATCTTAAGTGCAAAGAAGAATTAAATTTTTATTAATAATATTAGATATGATTATCAATTAGCATTATAACAATGGATACATGAAACTGTACGAACTTTAATGTATAATCTGCACTTTTTAGCCGTACAATCAATAATGTCAAATTATTCAGCCTAAGGTCCATAGACACAAGCGTAGATGACTTAATAGATATAGAATAGTAAAATAATATCTTTTATTTCTCTCCATTTAACGACCACTCTTTATAACGCCGAAAAATGTTCAGTCCCTTAAGTGTCGTTATATNTATTTGATTTATTTCATGTGGATACCATTTATTTCCGTTCACCAGACTTTTCTAAAGAAACTAACCTAATCAGTATAGTAATAATTGCTTGGAGTGATTTTTGCTTGAAACTACAGTCGTTACTCATTCCCTTTTGACTTCTAGTGGCAAAAACGAAAAATATTACAAATCTAAATCTTAAGTGCAAAGAAGAATTAAATTTTTATTAATAATATTAGATATGATTATCAATTAGCATTATAACAATTTGTGATTGGGCTGACATCAATTCAAACCAAAAAGGTCATAGAAGATCAGAGAATGAAAGAACGATAAAAGCTGATGCTATTATTAGATATCGAATAAATGAAAAATCCCAATGACCAGTAATGTCAATGCTGCAGCGACTGCTTTACATACGTACATCCAAATTACAGAATCGACCATGTTATATTGGTGCAGCGATTGATCAAAATGATAATGTCATAACTGCTAGATGTTCCTGTAATTGCGAACCTTATACATATATTTAAAAATATGTACGATTATATACTTCATTTGTATTGTATTGTATTAATTTAACAGCTGAAAAGATAAATTTTGCAGGCATGCCTAAAAACGTTTTCCTGCATCAAGAAAATAGAACCTTAAATGTAAACGTTTCTTGTCAAAACTTTTACAATGTTCTATACAACAAATCAATATTGTTTGACATTCTGAATGAAATAAAATTTTAGTAATCGAAGAACAAATGGAGATTGATACACACATTAAGTGAATTCAGTCTTACATCACTTTTCATTTTCTCTGATGGTCAGGAGTGAATGTCAGAAACTAATGATTCACGTACAATCTCTCGATAATGTCATTATAAACGTATCTATTTGCTAAGGTTAGAAGTTTGTCACAACCCTGATAGATTTTATTACGAGAAAGCAATTTTTAATTTTAATTGGGCACTTTCTTTTATTTTGCGACTACCGCAACACCTTAGGACGAATCCCACCACTTAGTTTGCTTGACAGACTATTAATTTTCCTAATTTAATACCGGAGAGAGTGGCATAGCTAATGAACCATACTGATCTAATAGTAATTAACTGAGATACTAAGGTAACTTCAATGAATTTATTTAAATGAAATTATCGACCGTTGACTGTCGCTCCAGCCTAACCCATCATCTTCAAAAGGAGTCTAGGCTTCTAGCTGCGAATATTAATTTAATTTTTAAGAAATTGTGTTGATACTTTCCTATCTTTTACCTTATTTGGTGTTAAGTTATTCATCGACTATGCATGACCTTCAGTAGTAGGTAATGCTATGCATGTGATGCATAATTAGTACCCTTAAGGAAATTTGGTTGGTGCCCTTTTAAATATTGAGAGCGATAAGCAGCATTTTCGACATATCTTACTGTTTTACTACAGAAAGGGAAAATTTCCGTTCAAGCCAGAAAGAAATTGACTGATGTGTATGGAGAAGGTGTGTTGACAGTACGCCAGTGCCAGAACTGGTTCGCTAAATTTCGATCCGGAAATTTTGATGTCGAAGATGCACCACGTTCGGGAAGGCCGTTTGAAGCTGATAAAGACGCGATAAAGGCATTAGTTGATGTGAACCGGCGAATAACAACACGTGAGATCGGAATGAGGTTAAATTTATCAAATTCAACAGTTTATGACCACTTGAAAGGACTGGGATTATCCTCGAAGCTCGATGTATGGGTTCCCCATGTTCTCACAGAGAGAAATCTGTGTCGCCGCATTGACGTCTGCGATTCGCTTCTCAAACGTCACGAAAATGACCCGTTTTTGAAGCGTATCATCACTGGGAACGAAAAATGGGTTGTATACAACAACGTCAAACGCAAGAGGTCATGGAGCAAAAAAGATGAACCGGCTCAAACCATTTCCAAAGCCGATATTCACTAAAAAAAGGTGATTCTGCCTGTTTGGTGGGATTTTAAAGGAATCGTTTTTTTGAGCTTTAACACAACGATTAATTCGGAAGTCTACTGTCATTAGCTGGACAAACTGAATGATGCACTTCAACAGAAAAGGTCAGAACTAATCAACAGGAAAGGTGTAGTGTTTCACCAAGACAACGCGAGACCTCACACAAGTTTGATCACTCGCCAAAAGCTTTTACAGCTTGAATGGGATACAATGCTACACCCACCATATTCTCCAGACCTGGCACCATCGGATTATTATTTGTTCCGGTCACTCCAAAATTTTTTAGACGGTAAAACCTTCACTTCAAATGAAGAGGTCAAAAACCTCCTCGATCAGTTTTTTGCCAGCAAAGACCAAAAATTTTATGAGCGTGGAATTATGCTACTACCAGAAAGATGGCAAAAGGTGTTGGACCAGAACGGTCAATATATAATTTAATAAAGTATTTGTTTATTATACGAAAACTGTCTTTCATTTCCACAAAAAAAAAAACGAAATGACTTTCCGAACAACCCTATAGAATTTTACATTCATATTGTTTTCATTCCATCTATCTAATCTGTCGTTCTCCATTGAACCTCATTTAGGTTTTTTTTCTGTTTATTAAGGCTATATTATTTGTCCCCAACTATCACTACCGCTGTCAACCAAATCACCCATTCCCGCGACTCCTAAAATGAGACTGAATAGGGTCTTCTGCTGGTTTTACACTCGATTGTAGATTGAAGAGACAGTCCGTTCATCCGCATCAGCTGGTAGAAATGAAACATTCAAAAGTTCTCTTTTATAAAAGGTCTACTGACTGCTGGCATGAATAATAGATAAGATGACAACACGGGTCTATGCATAGGCATATGTTTGACAAAGTTTTACTTCATTATAATACTAATAAGCTTATTAATAGGAAATCTAGGTCAACTGGAGGCGCTGTTCCGCCAAAACGTCCATATTTAACATTATTAATAAAACGAGACGGACATTTTAACTTTTAATGAATTTCAGATTAACTCGGTGGAACGGCTGGACTCGTTAAGCGGTAATGGATGTAGCCTATCAAGCATGATGGAATACGATGACACCAACCACGACGGACGTTTGAACGTTAATGAATTTTACACTGCATTTAGCAAACTCTACAGTAAGTACAACCAACACTATTATCCGTTCGGATATCAAATTTTACATGTAGAAGTTTATTAAGTTACAAAGTTAAGGCGTTAACCATTAGCAAGTTTTCTAAGAAATTTATTTAGAGATGACTATCTTGTCAAAATGGCTTTATGATTACGACAGTATATTAACTACGACGTAGCATGTATGTGTAATTAGTTGTTACTAATGTGCGAAAAAATGTATATTTCTGTAAATGTTTGATACTATTTCTTAAGCTTCTTTTAGTATTCTTTTAAGTAGACGAGCAGCGCTACCTCTCAGCTATTCACGTTTGTTGTAAGTGGCTGTTCATTTTATTAGACTGCCACAAGTGGCAATTATCCTCAAATAACAGACAGTAATAAATCAAATCGTGCTAGAGCGATGCGAAGAGCGTAAGGCGAAAAGGGTGTACAGTCTATTTCAATTTGTTAGAATTGTGACCTTGAAGAAATCTGCGCGATGATAGAAAGAATACACACTCCGCGTGAGCAATACAGAAATAGTGGGAACAAGCTTGAACGAGCAGAGCTCTCGATGGGTGGTCTTAGGAGATCGGCTAGAACTGTACAGTACTAGACGAAAATGTTTAGCAATTTCTTAAAACAAAAATATATATAAATTAACAATAGAAAACAAAGCAAAAGTTTTATAGGTGTGTAGAACGTTAAGTTAATTCACTTGTTATTATTTTTGGCTAAATATGCTTTTAAATAAAGCATACTCTTAAATTTTAACGAGGCAGTTTAAATAATTTTGCAAATGGTACTGTAGACTTATGTCTAGTTCTCGCTCGATGATCGATGGAGAAATGAGCTCAGCGGACTAATATATGATTGAATTTGGAATTATGCTACGACGCATCCTAATAAAGGGAAGGGACATATCTCTTGAAACGAACACTACTTACAGCTTCTCTGCCGTAGTAAATCTGATATCGCACCAACCTAGCGGACTATACTTCGTTTACTTTCTGTAGCGATGTGACCTTCAGTTTGACCGGCGAAAAGTAGAAAAGAACAGCACTAGGCGAGAAAAGGAAGGAGACAACTCTCGGCCACTCTTAACCGGTGAGGAGCGTATAATACGTACAGTACTTAACGGAAAAATTGACCATTTTATCCACTACAATTGCATTACTCAAATGTGCTGTTATTGGTACCATTTACTACTAAAAATATCAACGAGATGTTTATTTATATTTAAAGAAATATTAAAGATTTTAACGCTTGTTTTCGACTTGCAGTACTATTCATGATCGAACAAAACTTTTGGCAGGTACTGTATGAAAAAGTATGTTTAATGAACAAGAGTCGAGAGTATAATGAGCTTTTTCCTCCCTACCTACGATTTTGCCAGCGCGCATCCAAGACATTGGAAGGGGCACATCGCTAGAGAAAGTAAATGAAGTATAGTAAAAAGATTCTATAATTTGGTACTTTCATCTGTCTAAAATACCTACGTTTTTTGCATATCATCATAAATTAACTTTATATGCGTTAAATTGCCATATACGACGATGGTTCAATAGCTTTGCGGAAGCGTTTAGATACAAAATTTATTTGTACTGTGGCTTCACGATGACATTCTGTATAAGTCAGCCCCTGCTTGGCGGGGAACTCGTAGAGAAAGAGATGAAGTGTCGACAGGAATTTTCGTCCAAATAATTTACAGATTTATAGCTGTTACAGCGTCAATGTAGGTGTTATAAATTTTAAAAAAGAAAAATTGTTTTTTACGGTTATTTATGTTTTTTTCTCTACGAAGAATGCATCATTTTTAAAATGCTATCAACAAATCAATTGCAAATCAGAGTTGCTAAGTCTCATCATCTAAACAGGTCCTTAGAGATATCACTTTCCCCTTTTCTTTTGAAAATCCGTCTTCGAAATATTAAACTTATTACAATGCTTCCACTGGTACTACATTATCTACTAATCTGGAACAAACCCTAGTAAACAGATTTGATAAAAACTTCTTATTAAATCTATTTGGAATAGTTTTATCTGGTTGGTTTTGGAGCAGTAAGGAACTCTATCGTACGCGTACATGACATGCTCTTGGCAGATTTAATTATTCTTTGTGCATTTCTGCAGTCAGTAATTTGTGTAAAACAAGTTGACATTCGAAACGACAATGAAATGCGAGAAGCATCCACTTGAGACGCTTCTTGACCTACCTACATGGTAGAATATGTACTACAAACGTATGAGAAAACGATATGAGTACTTGTCACGCGATTTCAACGTTCATATCTCTAAAATGTACTTTTATTCACAGAATGTCTACAGATAAAATATTACAAAAGGTAATTTTAAGATTTTAAGGTAGTCCGGCCGAGTTCAGAATAGTAACATCAGCAAATACATGTATGTAAAACCAATTTATACCTATAGATATTTCTAAAAGAAAAACATCACTTTAATTTAGATCAATGCATTTATTGGTCATGCGTCGACTTTAGAAATGCTTAGGTGAATTCGGATTACGTTAGCGTAAAAATAAAATGGCATAATTGATTAACACTTCGCATTTTTTAATTGACAATTCATAACAAGGGCGCTTTTCGACTAGTCTCGAGTTTCTGAGTCATAACCTGGAATAATATTCAACTTTGACAACTTATTTTTTAACTATGCCTGTCCTAATTGGTGCAGGGCTGTAGCTAAAGTGATCCGCCCTCGAAGCACGGACTCCTAAATCAGTCATCATGTATATCACTGACCTCTAGGTCCGTGATGTACATTCAATAGCTATTCGTAGACAAATAATTTCTGTGACAGAGCATGAGCATGTATCTAAGAACTATTAAATCCTCAATGATGAAGAACAAGCGAACAAACTGGTTGAACTTCCAGATTTGGATGTAGAGATCCATGTCTGAGTGAGAGTGAGGTAATAATTAATTGTTGGGTGGGATGATACGAGTAAATAGATACGACCAAAATACCATTTAGATCATATTATTTCTGCAAACTTATTAACCCATATTGCAATCTATGGTACGGGGAATCCCCTCTGCGTCACAGATATTATAATTAAATAGACCCATCGCTTCATCTGATGACGCTTCAAATGCTGTTTATACACAGAAAAAGGAATTACTATAATATGAAATGAATGTCACAAACTGTGGTATGTTCGGAAAAGTTTAGATACCTAATAATTTATCTTAGCTTTTGGTATTTTTAAGGTAGGGCATTGTGATTTCAAGGTAGGGCATTTTCCCATAATACCCCCCCTAGCTGCGGCCGTGAATTGGTGGTATAGTTGGGACGATCAAAGCTAGCAAAGTCTCTTAATTCTTTCTTGTTTCTACTTGAAACAATAGTCATTTGTTGCGTTTTGAACACGTCCTTGTTAAGTTGAAAAGTACAGACAAAATGAAAAGAGATAACCGAATAATAGTAAACGGTGCAGCGGTTACAGCTTCATTGTTACGCTAAAGATCAGAGTCGGTTTTATAACTGTCTAGTTGGAATTATATCTTTAAACAAGCGTCTTTTCTTTTCTAAATTCCTGAGAGTTGAACTTTCTTTAGAGTTCGATGTTGGTAACATGTTCAAATTCTGCTTATCTGAACCTCTTTCTGTTGCACATCAATTGGTGTAATGTTATTCCTATTTCTTTATTAGTATCTACTGCAATTCCTACCTGAAACATCTTTTCTATGTTTACGATATTCTCTATAACGTTTGCCAATTTTAAACGTCCTAACTACATACAGCTTATTTATATAATCTTTTTGTACGTACCTTCAGAATGTCGTACTATCCGTTATTCGTTTTCTATAGATTGCGAGACCTATTTTGATGTTTTAATTCTCAAATATCTTTTAAAATCTTGCAAAATCCTTATTTATAATCGTCTTTACGACGTGTTTCATGCATTCTTTGTCGTTTTTCTACAAATATTAAGCGAAAACAGTTGACTTTAGTCATGATCAATCAAGTGTGGTACAAACAGACCTTTACTTGACCTTGTAATCAAATTATAGTTTTTACTATAAACAAGCGGAACTCTTTCATTCTCCAACCGAGCGACATGGCGTAGAGGCTTAGTGCGCTGGTTCGATCCCGGATCCGTCTGCCTTGGTCGAAGTTATTTTGGAGCAGTACTATTCTACAGATAATCTTTCATTTTCTTCTGTCTTCATTTCGTCTGTCTCATCTTCCTCACCCGAACCAACACTCATTCTCACCATTCCTTCCGCCCTACCTTCCGGCGTAGTCCGGAGGGACTGCCCGCCCACCAGCGTTAGTGGCTGATGGGAATGAAACATCCAAAAGTTTTTTTTTCAATCTTGAAAAGAAAACCGACTTCTAACTCCCCTCCGTCATTGTAAATAGACAGGAATAGACACAATATTTACTACGTTCGCTGTATTAGTTGTTATAAAAGCTATTTTAATAAATCTACACGTACAGATACTCAGTTATCACACATGATTTATTAGGAACAATTTGTTAACTACATACAATGAGCGTATCTTTCACCAAATGGTTTTGTGACTACGGGCCATTTAATTCACCCTCCTATAGCTGTTCGTTTTATCCTAATATTGTGTATTTTAGGAAACTGCGATATCTCATGCAATCTTGCCATTATATATGTACAGTTTAAACACGTAGATATCTACCGAGACATACATTAGATGGGCTCAATTTACAGGTGTGTCTGTGGTATCGTTGGATAAAGCACTCGAGACCAATAATTTATCCGTGAAGGTAAACGACAATGTGGAGATCAAATGCGACGTGACAGGATCACCCGTTCCTCCGATCGTCTGGCGAAGGAATCGGCTCGACCTTTCGACCCTAAACGAAGAAGAGGTCAGAGTATTCAGCGATGGAAGTCTTTACTTGACGCGGATACAGCTGCAACATGCCGGAAATTACACATGCCATGCACAGCGGAACAAAGACGTTGTACAAACTCATATTCTGACAGTACACAGTAAGTAATTATCATCATATAAGCAAGTGAGTTATCTCTGTAAGGACATTTAAGATTTGATATTTTTAATAATTAACTTCTACGAATTTGTAATGGCTACTGATCATTACGAACACCTAAAATAGTTAAGCAAACACANAAGTCAATAAAAAATAGGCGAGATAGGTTGGTAGGACAGCTTTTCAGGCATGAAGGTCTAGTCAGAGACATATTAGAGGCAGAAACAGGAGTTAGAAGGGGTAGAGGTAGACCTAGGTTAGATTACTGTTCGCAAATAGCTAAGGATGTGGGTTGTTTTAGTTTAGCTTAGGATAGAAATGAGTGGAGGTACGTGTCCAACCAGTCATGCACGGCTCTCATGTATTCATGTAAACGCAAGTTACGCAGCTAGGAAAAAAAAGGCAAAGGAACTAACGTACTGCTAACAAAAGTTTAGATAGTTTTTGAACAGATCTCGTAGATACTTTCGTGAAGCCCTTATTAAACATTTTAAAAAATTGATCAATGAGAGACGGAGACTCGAGTCTCGCTTTCAGAGACTCTGAGAAACTGAACATTTTTATCTCTGGATAAAGCTAGAAACTTGAAACTTATTTGTATATTAAAATAATTACTGTTAGTAATAACATGCCAAAACGTATCACTTGCTCAAACACCCTGTATGTTTTCATTTCGCGACCCAGATGATGTATCCAACAGAATTTAATCCATAATTCTGTTTTCATAGGAGGATTAACAAGAGACATTAGTTCACTTGTCGTTCAAGAGCTGATACAGTTCTTCTATCTTTATGTTATAGTTTCTCCAGTTCAACAACAAATAATTCTTCTATATGCTTCATTATTTGCCTTTATCACCCGTTTTAATCGGAAAAAAGTACTGATGTCAAAATAGTTTGTTTACTGTGAAATATCAAAGCCAAAATAGGGTTGCAAATAATTTTATTGATGTAAAATTAACATCAATTATTTTATATCAAAATATTTACAACCCCATTTTGTTTCCGACCTTTTACACATTGTAATAAGAGAAAGAAATGGAATTCATAGTTTTTTTAGCTTTGAGTTCATCTAATAAGTGAAGTTTTTGGAATCGTTTTCTAAGAATTTTGAATTGAATACACATTTATTAGCACACCGTAATATCTTGTAATTTTCAGTTTGACACAGCTGGCGTATATCAAGATACAAGATAAAAATAGGTATTTTGTATTTTGTATTTGCATTTTAAATGCAAGTATTTCAAATAAATCACATCTGTGTTAGTAACATTTCCCAATACAGTACACATATCGTAATCATGATTTAAATGCGTATTAAACTGATTATTGAATCTAATGGCAGTCATTGTTTGCTAACTCAATAGCGATTGATATACGGGAGTACTTGCAATAATCAAATGTTTTGATAGTTTTGGACATTAAAAGTAACGGAACACAAACTAATGTTGAAATATCATAACTTTTTAGTTGGATATATTTTGATTTATAAATGTGCAAAATTAGATTAACTGCTACCACTGACTGTTATTAATATCTTGTAAAACTAACCCTTTTCATTAAATAAAATTTATTGTAATTGTAATTTGTTCTGAACGTAAACTGCACTTATTTATAACGCAAACGGCATTTATTTATTTACAACATCTTTGTTATGAACCATCACGTGTTTTTGAGTGACCTTTATGAAATTTCTAAATAATTTTTATACTAAACAATTTCTATAACGGTAGACAGGCGCTGGGTATAGCCATTTATTAATATTGTTAGCAAACTATTTTGAATTAATCATTTTTTGATATTTTTTAATTCATTATTGTCTTAATTATTTGTTAATTTAGCCGTTTCTAGTGATTTGATGGAGGCGCCAGGCACTGTGAAATAAATATTTAAAAATAATGACAAGGCAACGGAATTACGTATTGATAATAAAAAAAATGTCACTTACAACATAATTTGCGTAATCAGACCTCAGAATTGCCTCAACATGTCAAAATTTATAGGTATACTAATCTCGAAAATAAAAAAATACAATTTTTGACCATTTTGAGAGAATTAAAAGGACAAAACAACCAAAGAATGTAGCCATTTCCAAAGTAGCGTTCGTCACTGATTTAGCACTTGACCTTAGAATTACAATATCCTTGGGGAAATCTGGAGTTATGTTTGAGTAGCATTCCAAAATGCATCAAAAATGACACCTTTCTTTGCATTTAAATGTTGTGTTACTTTTGCTGAAAAAACAATCAGAAGACGGAGTACCTAACCACCACCTAAGGACAATATAAATTAATTCATTTGATTTTCTTTTTCATATACATGGCATATGAAATTGGATCAGGAAACTAAGTCCAGAGATATATTTTGCGACACTGATTCCGAATATTGCATCAAACTTGCCACAGCACGTCTGGACTAATGTCAAATTTCAATAATTTCAATGTTTAGCCCTCCTTTTATCATTACTACATCAAATAAAAGGGAGAATAACCAAGAGAAACTTCATCGTACTGAGGTCACATTTGAGTGCATCATCAAAAAATAAGTTTCTCTTAGTTATTGTGTCCTTTTTATTTTACGTGGTAATGCTCACAAAAAGGTCAAAAATTGATTTGTTTGAAATTTGGCGTTATGATATTTTAAAATCAACACCTACTATGACAATTTTGAGTTCAGAGTCAGAATCATCTTCTCAAAATATGTCGGCAAAGATACCCAATTATATAGAAATTGAAAATCATACGAATCCATTTATTCATACTGCCCTTCTGCTGTTGCATGGACACAAGCCGTTTCAAAAGTCTTTTGATTTTTTTTAAGTGTTGCATTTACTGAAATTCAAAAATATTATGCATTTAAATGTGAATATGTATCTAAATATTTTAACAATTTATTTTACGAAATGTAGTTATTGCAAAAAATAAAAAAAGGTTTTGTGGAAGAACGCTCTAGTTTTAAAACCCTCATTTGTTATCTAGTTTTAAACTATTGTAAAATGCATTTAATAAACCGTTTCCTTTTAAACGCTGTATCATGTAAATGTCACAAATTCTATTTTAATAAGGTATAATCCTTAAAGTACATACCGCCAACTTCCTAAATGTTTTTCGAGCAATTCCCAAATCTACTTTTTTCTAGTCTTATCGTTTGAATACAAATTACAGAATCTTCTCAGATCGTCTTGTTGTTAATATGTTATTAAAAAAAATCCTGCAAGCTATGCCCAACATGCTGGAAAAACTAACAGCAGACCAATACAAAAAAGACATTACGCGCATACAAAAATCAGAATACATGCCAACATACAAACACATCAAGGACATACAAAAACCCAACAGAGAAAACTACCTCGACTGGAACATTCCAAATAAGTTAAAACAACTAATAGCACAACTACGATTAGGAAATAATGAAACCCTCACAATAAAAGTAAACAAAATGAAATATACAATAGACACGAAAAGCATATGTAGATGCTGCGACCGAAACGAAAATGAAACACTAGAGCACATAGTATGCAAATGCCCGGCATATAAAGAGTTTAGAGAAAAATATATCAAAGGAAACACAATTATTGAGGTGCTAAGAATAAAAAATAATGATGAAGCGTGCAAATTAGTATATTTTGTACAAAACTGTGTGAAACTGAGGTCATTTATGTTAAGCGAATAGCAATGTTAGGTTAGATTAGGTAGAGATCATTAAAATAAGATAGCCAGTAAGTATCTTGTAATAGGCCTATGGCCTGCAACAAGTATGTACAAAATAATAATAATAATAATAAAAAAAATCGGTTGTCTGTAAAGTCGGTTTACTGACGATAATTGAACGTAACAACGTCATAAGAAAATACTGATGTAATGGTTTCATTTTCTAAAAGAAAATTTTAATTTTATTTGTTTGATAGATATTTTGTATGGATATAGAGAAGGAGGTAAATGGAAATGTATTATTGTATACCAGCTGTCCACGTGGACGCATCGCTCACTCAAGTAGGAGAGAGACAGATGTCGAACGCTGCCGAACGCGGAGGCCGATTGTGCCTCTTTGTCGCTCGTTCCGCGCTCTCGCTTGCACTTCAAGCCTTAAATGGAACGCCTCAGAGCGAGGTAACGCCGCATGAGTCATGTTTTTTCGTGCGTGCAGCCGGCTCTATCGAATTATAAGACGTTGTCACGTCAAAAATACGATTTTGATTTTAGGATTTATTACAATAACTTCTCTACTGGGAAGGTAACAACAAGCACCATTAAATACTAGGCTTCCAAAAACAAAAACAAAAAGGCAAAGTAAAATTCTTTTTCAAAAGAAAATACCAAGAACTTTTTAATTCACACTTCCTTTCTTAAAATAAAGCGAGATTTCTTGGCAGTTTTCTCAACTATTTCTGGGATATATATGTACATGTTTTCGTGTAGTTTCGCTAAAAGTGCATTTACCTTGGGGCGGATTCGTTGGAGTTCTGCTCTAAAATAAATTCTCGTTCGCTAACATAAACGTCTATCACATCTAAGGCGCTATCCTATCCCGCTTCTATTTCAGTTCTGAATCGAATAATTTAACGTTAGTTTCCAGTGCCTGCAGCTTATTTGATTTGACTGTCCTTAAACATTTTTAATTTCCTCAAACTTCCTTGTTTTCTGTTCTGTCTTGTTGGCTTTTGTTGGTTATATCAGAGAGACTTATTTAATTTCCATCAACTTACTTTTTCGATTTGTCACTCGTTCTTTTATGTGTATGTCCTGCTACATAAGCAATTTTCTCTGGTTGCTCTCAGAATGGATAAACTGGCAAGTCCTTAAAAGCGGATCAAAGGGCCATAAAGTAATACGTATCTTTATAGTATCTTCACAAATGTATAAAGAGACTGATTTCTTCCGACTATTTTTTTATTTTATATGAAAATTTGTTGGCTTTGATGTGTTAAGAAGCCTCTCAAGTTAGGCTGTGCAAATTATATGAAATGACGAATAGGTACTTCGAAACGAATCGAATAATTACATTCAATTCTAATATTGCTTTTTCTCGAATTTTTCGCTTTTCTACAAATTAATCGTTTTTTGTTTAAATTTTTTTTTCCTTCCTACTGTGTATAGTAGATGATAATTTGAATATTACTAAAGAAAGACTGAAATTAATGTTAGTTAGCATCGTAAATATTTTAATGATCACGATATAACTTAATTCTAGGAGATTAAAATAAAGAAAAAACATTTTTAAAAAAATTAAATGGAAAAGTTGAATAATTCGAAGGAAAACAAATAATCCAATATTAATATAATACGAAAAGACGAATATTCGATTCGGGTACTATTCACTCTTACCACTATTCTCTAAAGGTCAGTTTATTTTAGAAATCGCTCAAGAATTTGAAAAATCCTAAATAAACGATTGTTTTTCTTTAACTGGTAATATTTTTGTCCACGTTATTTCTTTTTTACACGTACAATTTGCAACTTTAAATACGTTTATGTAATGTAGTAATAATGAAAAAAGTAAAATAATATTTTACATAAAGCTCTGTCCTTTTTATTGAGACTAAATCATCTTAGCATGTGATCAAAAATAAAACAAAACCTTTGTAATACATATTTGTACATATGTATTGTATACGTAGGATTTTTAAAATTCGTGGGTCACTTATAAGAGATTTTTAATCAATTTGACAAATAAATGATGAGCCTTCTTAATGAGTCAAAACCAAAGAATGTATATTCGTCAGAATATTAAAATTGCTTTAAAAATAACCAAAAATGGAATACGTCGAGGACTATCTTCTTTATAAAATAATTCGAAGTGGTCTGTATTCTGTCGAAACTGCCAGACGCGTATCGCAATTTCGATCTTTTTGGATCTCATCAGCGCGTCGCAGGCAGCTCCGACAGAACACAGACCAACTTTTACCTGCTGTCTTAACAGTGCGTTTCAGAAAATACTACAAACGGCACAGTGAACGCCATCTGTAGCACGATGCTACATTTTAGGTTTACGTATTTTTCAACAAGGTGCGCTTGTGTGGATATTTATTTCCTGAAAACGAATCCTGGCGTAGCCAACCTCAACGTGATAGGCACGTTAGCTTAATCGAATAAAATAATTCAGACCACTTCAAATAGATATCCACACAAGCGGACCTTGTTGAAAAATACGTAATCCTAAAATGTAGCATCGTGCTACAAATGGCGTTCACTGTGCCGTTTGTAGTATTATCTTCTTTATATTTATGTTTATATTTGTACACTGCATGTTATCTCGTTTATATACTTCGAAATTATTGCTTTATTATCAATTTTTATAGGTTACTGTTATTTCGAATTTTTGAATTTTATTCCTATATGATGTACAAAATACGGTCCAAAATAACTAAATAAAAATTTTTATTTTGTTAAATTCAATAAGCAAACGTGTGATATTACTTTTTACCACTGCAAATTTTTTACAGCTGTACCAGAAGTTCACGTGATGCCAAAAATACAGTCAAAAAGACCTGGAGAAGACGCCGTTATGTATTGTCATGTTGCTGGAGAACCATTTCCTAAGGTATTAAGTACTTAATTATTTATTTGCCCAACATGGATTTTATTTCTGTTTTAAAATTAAATGACGATATTAACCGAAAAATTGAGGCATCGACTGAAATTTTATTGCTTAAGTTAACAGAATGGGGTGCGATTCCTTCACCAAAAGGATTTTTTCTTACGTTCCTACATGAGGATGAAATTTCTAAAATATTTTTGTGTTAATCCTAATAATTTATTTCTATAATAATTAAAATAAGGTAATTGGTAGGTAGTTAATGAAATCCAACTTTTACTTTTTGATCTAGGTAGAATGGCTTAAGAATGACGAAACGTTGCATCTCGATTCTCCGCACAAATATCAAATCGTAGGAAACGGCACAGCGTTAAAAATTAAAAATATCGATTTTGCTGATACTGGAGCATATATGTGTCAAGCAGCAAATTCAGGTAGGTAAAAGAAAAAATATGTCACTATTTTAATACTTATCGTATTAGTCAATGTAATAAATGGTGCCACTCGACACTTTATTCTCTAAAAAAAATACGCTATCGATAATTGAATATCAGAGGAGAATAAAGGCCGGTTGCAGTTGAGTCCAATCGCGACACAAAAAGAAATTATTCGAATAAGGTTGTTGTTCAGAGACCGTTCTTCGTTTTGCAGGCCATAAAATTCCTGCATACAATTTTTAGAATGTTTGCAAATTTACAAGGCGGTATGGTGTTTATTTGGTAGTGGACCTTTAGATGCATCGGTACAATGTTTAAATTAGTTTATAGAGGTAACGGTTGAAGAAGGATCCTTTACGATTCCAATTTAGTTTCAAGTTTATTATGGGGTGTTTTTTATGAGCCTAACGGTTAAAAGTACCGTTTGTTGATTTCTTGATGTGCCGATCTTTTCTCAGATTGTAAACTTCCCTCTTTCCAAAATTTCAGTTGAAAGCCCGCCTTCTAAATTTGCACCAAATTGTTTTGAAAGGGTTAACCACCAATGGTAGTACTAGCCACACCCTTGGTGTTTTCCTCCTAGTTTTAAGTTAGATATAAGATGTGACCAAGGACTTCAAAGGAAGCACTTGAACTAAGTCAGCACAAAACGCAAGAGGACTTGCACTTGTGTAATCTTACTAATAATCGATGGAGATACTCTGTACATATTGTAAATACATAATTAAGTTGACTTCGCTGCAAGAGTGCTATTTTTTTCTACCTTCCACCAAAGAATTAAACAACACGCCTTATTAATTTAACGCGTGTGCTGATATTCCACTTACAATAGTAAGTTCCCGAATATCTGCCTGTGAAATTTAACAGTTGTTAAAGTTGTATGATTGGAGCGCGGCGTTGTACGAGTGCGAAACATGGACAGTGGGCGCGGCGGCAAAGAAAAGATTAAAAGCCTTCGAAATGTGGTGTTATAGGCGAATGATGAGGATAATGTGGGTAAAAAAGGTTAGAAATAAAGAGGTATTAGATAGAATAGGAGAACAGACTCTATGGAAGTCAATAAAAAATAGGCGAGATAGGTTGGTAGGACAGCTTTTCAGGCATGAAGGTCTAGTCAGAGACATATTAGAGGCAGAAACAGGAGTTAGAAGGGGTAGAGGTAGACCTAGGTTAGATTACTGTTCGCAAATAGCTAAGGATGTGGGTTGTTTTAGTTTAGCTTAGGATAGAAATGAGTGGAGGTACGTGTCCAACCAGTCATGCACGGCTCTCATGTATTCATGTAAACGCAAGTTACGCAGCTAGGAAAAAAAAGGCAAAGGAACTAACGTACTGCTAACAAAAGTTTAGATAGTTTTTGAACAGATCTCGTAGATACTTTCGTGAAGCCCTTATTAAACATTTTAAAAAATTGATCAATGAGAGACGGAGACTCGAGTCTCGCTTTCAGAGACTCTGAGAAACTGAACATTTTTATCTCTGGATAAAGCTAGAAACTTGAAACTTATTTGTATATTAAAATAATTACTGTTAGTAATAACATGCCAAAACGTATCACTTGCTCAAACACCCTGTATGTTTTCATTTCGCGACCCAGATGATGTATCCAACAGAATTTAATCCATAATTCTGTTTTCATAGGAGGATTAACAAGAGACATTAGTTCACTTGTCGTTCAAGAGCAACCAACTCCGAGTAAGTTGTGTCATAATCGTAATTCTCTGTTATAAGCCAATTAATATTTATACTGTTTTAATATTAATACCAGCGGCTCCTGACGAAGAACGTCGCTTCTTTGCCTTCCATGATTGGGGTGTTTCAGTTTATTCGCCTTCAAACTGTCGCATTCATCATCAAATACAATCAACCGACATTATTCCCGGAACTCAGGTAAACATTTACATTAGTAATTATTTATTAGCAGTAACGTTTTGTAGCTACGATAAATTAAAAATTATGACTTATCCCGTCGACTCCACCAAAAATTAGCATCATTTACATTGTAACAAGTACCTAATATGGAAAGTAAATTCTCTTATCACAAACTAGATAGCAGATGTTATTTGGAATTTCGTCAGTCTGCTTTTTCATCCATTTGAGTACCTATTTAGTAAAAGAAAAACTTTGTGTGAGGAAAGATGCGCCACAATGTGGTGACAGAAGACGACATGTCTCTATCAAAGGTCATAGTTTAATGCTGTTATACCAACTTTAAAAATACGTTCAATTTCCAGTTTTAATTTTAAGATAAAACAGAATAAAAACCAAAATAGGGGCAAAATACCGTTTATTTAATGAATCCATGCCAATATTTCGCCTTTACTGCTTGATTTTATCAGTCTAGGTTTTCAAAGAATAACTAATGAAGATGACATAGTCATTTGCTACTAATTGTGTTCATTAATGTTTGGCAACATCCTTCTAAGATGTCAAATACTCAAACTCATCCAATGACGTAGCAGTTTACGTGATGAGAACGTATATCTGCCAGAACAAATGTTTTTTGTCAGTGCTCTCTCTGGATATCATCAGCACGCTGTAGACAGTTCCTTCAGAATACTGACAAATTTACTTGCAGCGTTAAAAGCTACATTTGAGCACCGTCTGTTGAAATTTGCCACTAATGATTCCAAGTTCAATAATATTTTGCAAGATCCTTTTACGTTTAAGGATATCGACAGTCTGTAGTTGCTCGACAAACGCCATTTAAAAGCAGCACGTAAATTGGTTGATGTTCTGCGACAGCTGCCTACGACGTGCTGCTGAGATCCAAAGAGATCGAAATCATGATGCCGGATGTGGTATCTAATAACTTTGCAGTGACATCAATATATAAAATATTAATTTAATTAATACAATANAGCATTCAACATTAATGTTAAAGAAACATTTCCCCCTACCTTGGTTTTGGTTCTGTTACAATATATATTTATTAAAGATATTATTCATAAAAACCTGTTCCTTTTTTTTACACCTAATATAATTAAAGTTAATTGCTGCTCAATACAAGAGTAATTGACTGATTGATTATTATTCAAAATCAACAAAAAATATTTCATTTGATTTACGAGGGTATTTTAAGGTTAAGTGCATGCGAGTCAATTTAAGAAGGCGAACTATTTTATAAATATCCAAAAAAAAAACATTTTAGTTCTTTTTACTTTAACCATCCACAAACAGGTCATCATTTATTAACAGGATTGCCAGAGAATGCTGAACAAGGACGACAATTAGTGCTTCAAACGTATTTCTTCCTTTTCTTAGAAATTAGATCGTAAAAATTTATAGGGGACTCCGCCTTCTTAAACTGATCGAGTAAGAGATACAATAATGATTGGTTTATATAAAACAGGTCCGTAACCAGGGTTTTATTTTGGAATCCCTCAAAATTACAATAATCCGTAACCCTCATCTACTAATAGTAAAAATAAAAAAAAGTGTGTCCATGGGCAGCACATTTGGGGAAGGAAGTTTGAGCCGGTTAATACCCCATTTTAATGGATGGAAAATTAATAAAATAAATTTAAAAAAATCAAAACGGAAAAATGTGTATTCAGTTTTTCAACAATTGTTTATAACCACCTTTTCATTACAGGAATACGTTTGTGGTGATAAAGGAATATCATGCTCCTGGGGTAGAGCCATAAATGTAGCAAACCGATATATTTACGCAACACAACCAAACAGAGACAGAGTTATAATTATTTCTAAAATTCAAATGGTGGTTGTGGATGTAAGTAACGTAGTCTTAATTTTATTATCTAACAAAGTTCTCTATTTAGTAAATAATATTCTAACTTTCCATATTGATCTAATATTTCATTATCATCATTAACAAAGACATAATAATAAGCAGCATTTGCTAGTCTTTTTTTTTTCACTTGTTATATTCTTGTATAGTCCATTCTCTTTCAAGATAAACTGACTATAAACACAATCATGCACTGTGCACATGACTGTTGAAAACCGAAACATTCAACAGCATTTAAATATTGTAAATAATTTTTTATAGTACAAAGAACATTCATTTCGCAAATATTAATTTACGATATAGCGAAATACATTTTACTGACTTTTACCGGATTCTGTAAAAAAACTTTTAATAAGGCTCAAAAAACACTTCTTAATTTTTTAAAATACACCAAAACATTTGCAAAATTGTATATCTGATTGGACAGCGATGAAGATTACATTATTAAAAATGTTAACACAGTGGAATTCGTTTATTATGACTCCGCCTGTATTGGCCAACCGCTTAATATGAAGTAATTGCAGTGTTAAGTTTGGTTTTCATATGAAAGTTTGGATATAATGACTCCGTTTAAAATGACATATCGTTTATTACGACTGATTCTCAAGAAATCATGTCTGGCTATGGTGGCCCAAATGATTAATAATAACATTTTCGCTTATTTTTCTGACCCTTCTTATCAATATTGATATTACAATTCATCGTTCTTTTTCTTTTTCTGCTAATAAATATATACAATTTGTAATTTTTGTCTCTATTAAACTAAATAACTAACCAAAATAGAAAATTGATTACTTTCTACGATTATGCTGTGTATGACGCCCGCTGAGTATGATGTGTTTGTCATTTCCGTTCGATGTCGTTATAAGCGGATTCTACTATATATGCACAAAATGAGGTTTTTAACTTTAAATCGTAAATATATCGAGATGTACGTAATGACTCAATGCGACCCTAGAAAAATTCGGTAAGCTTGAGCATGAGCCACCGCCCTCGGTTGTCAAATAACGACTGGGTTGTAATCGCAAGTCCGCGTTTGTTTCTGTTTGATTTATCTTGAAAGTGGACAGAGTAATTAAACGACATAATCGAAAATCACTAAAAATAATAAATAGGAAAAAGGCAATATATAAAATTTTCTACTGCAAATTTAATTTGTACTTTATTCAGATAGTTCCCACGGACAAGTATCCTGTTGAGCTATTTTATGTTCCCTATTTTGATCAAGTATGGGTTCTAAATTGGAGGTCTACAAACGATACTGGTATAAAAACCGTACAAGTAAGTACACCATTTGAAATTACCCTAAAATTACTTACGTTAAGATCAAAATAAAAAACGGTTAGCAGGTACATTCTAAGACCTTATCATCCTAAGTAATATTATAAACGCGAAGTTATATGAGTTTGTTTATTACCATTTAATAAACTTTGGAAATACAACAGCATTTAGCACAACGGTTGTTGAGCCCGAATGTTAATTTCTTATGAACAAATGTTAAACTATTTGGCATGCGTATAATAAAAGTAAAATAAGCACGCAAAAAAGCAAAAATTTCAGGCTCTTGAATTTACTAATCACTATACTACGTCTTGTTACATCCTACAAAATAACATTAATTGATGTAGACACATACTCTTATCAAATCTTTCCAATTCAAATTAATTTTGCTAAAACCTCTTATTTGTTTCATTAGGTGATACGAGATGCAGGACAAAAGAGAAAACATCACACCGTTCATCCAGAGCCAATAGATGGCCAGTTCGATTTGGTTAAAGGGCTTTTTATTCCTTCACCAGACCAAGTAAGATATCTTTTTAAGTAAACTATTTATATCAATACATATATTTAACAATAATATGTACCTACTTATTCAGACAACAGGAGGTTTGAGGAGGCAAGTCGTAGGGGGGCATGACCTCTCCCTCCGAAAATCATACTCATGAAATTGATAAACCTATATAGGTACATATAGTGAAGCAGAGGTCTGTTGCAATACTAATATATTCCGCTTCCACAATTGTGAAAGTTCCGCGTAATTTTTCGCATTCGTTTCTGCGTCTGGTTCCGCATTTTTATAAGGGAAGCTTACCGGAACTAAACAAAATCTTATTTCTCGTCTTTTTGAAAATCAGTATATCGGAACAATAAATTTATTCTCTTGTAGGCTCCCTACTTTAATCTAAAAAGTTCAAGCTCAATTAATAATTTCATTTCGAAAATACTAATTCAGTTGTAGCATTTATTTATTTTGCATAGGTTCAGTGTTGTAAGTTTTAAGTTAAAAGCGCAATTTTGAAGTCAAAAAGAAATCCTATTTGAAATTATTTTGTTGATATTAACGATGCAAATGTCAAACGCAAAATCTGTAACAAAATATTAGTAAAAACGGCGCACGACCACTGCATTAAAGTCACATAAAATCATTACACTTCCGCATCCACATCCGCTTTTGTTTCCGCATCCGAAAAAAATTACTGTTTACATCTATTTCCGTTATGACACTTCCTTGCATCACTTCCCATGCAGAAGAAGATCTGAGTGTGAAGAAGGCATCAGACTTTTATTCCCATTTCTGGGGCGTTTCTACTTGTTACAGAATATATCATCTGAAAATTTTAAAGTGGAGGGGGGAGTCCAAAGAAAATATTGACTCAAAAGTTTCTAGTTTTGTGTAGTTTCTATAATCGAAATTTGTTACGACGATTTCTGCTTAAATCTAAAGAATTCAGAGTTCTGGTAATTCGACCTATAATTGCTGCGACTTCAGAGAGATCATTTTCTATGTTAAGGCGTATATAAAAGCTTTGTTGAGAGCGGTTTAGCTCTTCCAAATATTCATCCATAGATAACCTCAGACGTCCCAAATATTATTGCCCGATTTGCCAATAAGAGTAGAAGTCTTTCACCTGTTTTGTGATTTCGGCTTCTCATTTGTAAACTATATTTAATTAGGTATTCATAATTTTTTTCTACACCTAATAAATTTTTATTTGATTAACTTTTGTAACTGTATGCGAATTTAATGATTGTGGCGAACATATTTATATTTCAGTGGTCGGTAGGTATCTAGAAATTCTCCAGCAGATACTACCTTCCAAATACCAGATAATATGTGGACAAATTTAAAACCTCATAAGGGCAAACCCCGAAATACACTCCAAAATTAAATTTCAAATTAGGGCAACCTTAACTAACCATAACCTCATTTTCAAGATGAGCACAACTGAAAAAAAAGGAAGTTAATGTTATTATTAAAAATGAAATAAATAATCAGGTTATGAACCGTTTAATTTGCCCTAATTTGAAATTTAATCTAATTGCCGAATGTTATTATAGCTACAAAAAACTAGGTTTCATCATAAAGCACTTTGCTTACCTTTCCGTTCTCTTACTGAGTCGACTGGAAAAGTCATTTTGATGCTCACGCACAATTTCACTATCAATGAACAAAGACACAAAAGCACAATACGATCAAAGAACGAACAAGGACAAAGTATATTATTGAATTAAATGTTATTACGCGTATTAGTTGTAACTCGAAAATCAGAGATTAATCACTATAAATATTCCTTAATATTACAAGTCAATCACACGACATTTTCCAAGCCACGATGTGAACTAGTAGGATCTTGTCAGTACATATTACTCATCTGCAGGCGTGCTAGATTGTGGTTAGAAGAAAAACATGCATGCGCACAAAGCCAAAATGCATGCTCTTCATTAGAAAGTTCATGTAAATTCGGAAAAGAACTTTAATATATGTATATTTAAGTTCATAATTACTAGTTCCTGAATGAAATAAAAATATAGAATATTTTGTGATTAAATACAAAAACAAATATGTATTTTGAGATTAACACTTTACTTATTACTCAAAAATTTAGAAAATGATTTACTTCACAGTGGCAGTAATAAACTAAAATAAACGCATATGAAGATGACACATTCTTTTGTACAAAACGTTAGTGTTGTGATTAATTATTTCTTGTAATATTTATTTTCTGTTAATCTAGATAGTATGTAAATAATTGCGTTGTTAACTTCAGTAAACAAAGTGTCTGTAAAAATATTTTAAAAGAAAGTGTCCGTGAAATTCGTCAGTTTTTGGTGAATTTACAATTAAAAAATATTTTGGGATTACCGTTGATTGTAAAATAGTTAATACAAGGACGTCTGTTAAAACTACAACTTGACTTGTTTGATAAGTTATTTGGCAATTAAAAACTAACAGTTAGATTATTTAAAATGCATATTGCTTAAAAAATATTGGTATGTATTAAATTATATTTGCAGAAAAAGCATTAAGTCGTCATCTATCCATACAAGCGCTGTCAATAATGTTTTAAAACGTGTGTTAAGAAGCTAATCTCGTCTGTATTCGTATCCAAATAAAAAGAAAACGAAGTTAATTTCGCCAATTGCAGACCAAATTTTATTTGTAATACTGTTTATTTTTGTGACATTACAATGACAACGTTTCGATCATTGTTTTTGATCATCTTCATGTCATCAGTAAAAAATGGAAACGTAGTTACATAGTCAATGTTTTTCACATAAATAAATATAGTCAACAATCAAAAGAAAAAAACACTGTGAACAAAAACGTGAGACATAACGAGGACAAGTTAGTCAGTTGAAACGTCGATTGATAGTCTCTATATCTATCTACGTAGCGGTGACAGTGGGCATCCCTGTCTAATATTTACTTCTGTACGTTGCAGCCCCAGCTCTATAGCTGCCTGTTGCTCCTTATACAAACTAAGTATCACTCTTCTATCTCTGTAACTCATCCCTAAATTTTTAAGTATATTTAATATCTTGTCCCATTTTACACTGTCAAAAACTTTTTTTAAATCTGCAAATGCTATGTGTGCATTCTTTCCTTTTTCTATCGTTTTCTCTATTATTGTCCGTAAGGCTAGAATGACCTCCCGCGTTCCTCTATTTGTTCTAAACTCGAATAATCTTCCCCTATTAGTTCTTCCGCCCTTTTTCCCATCTTTCTCTGTACAATTCCAGTTAAGGTTTTTGACGCATAGGAAGTTAAGCTGATTGTTCTAAATGTCTCGCACCCATCCGCGCCTCTCTTTTTAGGTATGGTTACTTCCACGTTTAGGTAGAAAAAATATATTGTACACCTTCACTTAACTATGCCTTTTATTCGTGCTACAATAGAAAAAAAATGCCGACAAAGAAATGTGTAATTTCCCAGTTTTGTGATCATTGTAAAGAAAAATATTATCAATACATTTATATTTATTAAGTTGGTGTCTATTTCAGTGTTCCTATAACTCGATCATAATGAATGGACATTTTACTAATAGCTAACTTTCACGTATGTTTGTGTTTGTTTGTTTTACAGGAGCTATCACATTATAGTTTCAAATACGGATACGTGACCCACACCAATCAACGAGGACTCTACAAATTGGATTTAGAGAACCTACGGTACACACGATCGGTTGATCTTACTCCATACAATTGTGTACCAGCACAAATACAATTTTCATCCTTGTGTAAGTAAAATTATTATTATTATTCGTATTACACCAACAGATAAAGGGCTATTCTGTTACTCAGAAATTTATAAAAAATTATAGTCAAAACCATGGCAGATCATTTCATTGTAGTAGTGGCTCATCCTGATTACACTATCCTCTTTATTAAACGCATTTATTCCTAAGAATGTGTGGTATTTACATGGAAATTTAATTAAATTAATATATAGGAAAGTATAATGATACAAAGTACAACTGGTTGTCTTTCTGGAAGCGCTTCTGGAAGTATTTTTCTACAGAGCAATTTGTCCTGTTAGAAGGACTCATTATTCTTATAGAAAAAATTTTAATACGACGGATGTTTCCAAAGTTCAGAGAATTTAGCTTTAATTTTTATTATTTTGTTAATTTTTGTCAATATTGCAAAGTAGTTTTTGAACTATTTAACTGAATACATTTATCCCAACGATAAACTAATTTTTTTAAGCCGTTCTCAACGAACTTTTTCGGTCTCCACAATTCACCTATTTATGGCGCGTTTTACGTCAGTCAAACTTTCAAAACGAATACCCCGTAAAGGTTTTATCAAATCTATGAACGCATGATAATCACTAGGTGGAAGATCCGGGGAATAAGGTGGGTGCGGAAGAAATTCCCATCGTAAATTGTTTAAACCATCCTTCGTTTTTCTTGCGGTGTGTCGTTTTGCGTTATCCTGTTGCAATAACGGATGCTTATGCAACTTTCCAGGTCGTTTTTTGACAAGTGCCTGTCGCAGTGGTCCGGATATTAAATTCGAATAATCTGCGTTAATTGTGGTACCTTTCGCCAGATAATCCATAAAAATAATTCGTTTGCAATCGCAGCATATACAAAGCATTACCTTTCCAACAGGCGGAATTACATGCATTTTCTGTGGAGACTATTCCTTGGATTGACTTTTAGTCTCAGGATTGAAATAAGGAATCCACGTTTCGTCAGTGGTTACTATTCCTTGCCAAAATTCATTACCGTAACGGGCTAACAGCTCTTAAAGTTGAAGTATCAGACCTATTGTGTTTCTATTCTGGTCCTAACAGTCTTGGCACCCAGCGTGCAAAAACCTTGCTAACGCCCAAACAACCATTCAAGATACCATGAACTTGTCGTGTACCTATCCGTAGGCGCATACTAATTTGAGGAATAGTCATTCGCCTGTCCTCTTTGAGTAGGTCTTCGACGGCAATAATGTATCTTTTATTTACCAACGTGTTTGGGTTCCCCTGCGTGGATCGTCTCTAGTGATATTCTATCGGTTTTAAAACGATCGATCCACCGATAAACAGTACTTTTCGATTCCGGAGACACACCAAATACTCCTTGCAGACGCTAAATAATTTCTGATGTTTTCTATATAAAGAAAATTATGGCTCTTTGAGGTTTTGCTGCGTCTTCCATGGTTACAAAAACAGTGCTATGAAATAACATTGCCTATAAATTCTGCGTAATTCAATTATAGCACAATTCCCAGAATTTCGGAAACATCCCTCATACTTTATCTCCGTCTTTATAATATAATAATACAGTTAATTAATTCGCTAAAAGTATAGAAAACCTGCCTGACTTACCATTATCATGGTCTACTTTAAGTACATCTAGATAAACTTTTGTTGCTTTGTTGTCTATGTCCTACAAAACGGAAGATGTACAGTTTTCTATTTAAATAACATTTTGTTCAGTCCTAAAGCATCATGCAGGCTGTCAACGATCGCCAAATTGCCATACCCTCTAAATCGTATCGGCCAAAACTAAAACGCGTTGTCCTTTGCTATCATTTTTGTTACTGGACTGTATAAGTTTTAAATAGGTTCTAATTTCTAAATCTAATGTAGTATATATAATTAATTAAAGAATATGTTTGGGCTGTATAAATTTCTGGGCAAGATCCACAAGGTATTATATAGACTCTTTGGCCCCTGTTGTTGTTGGTTTTGACAGCTAATATAGTTAGATCGTGTTTTCTTAAGGACGATGATATTTTTTGAGATTTCATTTTACATATACCTACTACTGAATATATTAATTTTCATAAGGTAGAAGGTAACACAGTAAAATGTCAAAAAAAATCATTTTATAGATGGCTATGTAATAATGCAGTGCCTAGAGCCAATAACTAATAGGCCAAGCGGTCAGCTAGCACTGGATTATCTGACCGATGCCGTAATTGGTACAAAATCAACACTGCCAGGCATTCCATTTATTTCGCCTGATTCGAGAAAATTAGTCACCCTGGATAGGACAACAGGTGGTGCAACATTAATAGTTCAAGAAATAACAAGTAGGTTCCTTTACTTCTTTTTAATATTTTTAAAAGATTAATTTTGTAATAATTTTAAATATTTAGGATTACCTCTAATACATTTCCGATTGCTATTTAGGAAATGTATAGAATTCCTAGGACATGTGTCCAATATAATTTATTTCACACATTTCCTGGCGATTTTAGGAATTATATACATTTCCTAGGAATTGTATACAACGACGGATTTCTACATTTCCGGTAACATATCTATTTAATGTTTATTAAATACTAATTAAGCACAAAACTTGAAACTGAAGATCGTCGTTATTATGTCCTTAATATGAAAATGGTTCAAAATTTAATTGGGGCAACTTTTTCAGCCATAGTCTAATAACGTCCATCTGTATAAACTTTAATTTGTTAATAAAAAAAATGGGCAGATAAAATAACCAAGTATTTTTTCTAATTAAAAATTACTGTTTTTAATTAATAAACATTCAATTACAGTCGAATCCGATTATAACGAGCAGGAAAGGGCTTCAAATTTGGTTCGTTATAGCTGAGTTTTGAATCCGGTTTGTTAAAATGAATTTTTCTGTGTAATGATACAATTTGTTGTTCAAATACA